TTCCATTACGGAACAACAACTTTGGTTCACACTTGGCTGGCCACAAGCTATGGAAGGAGAACAGGGCAGAACAATTCCAAACAATAGATGATTCATTCCTTTGCAAATGTATCACAGCATTTATTTTGCAGTGGATTCCTGACTAGCTTTCCTTATGTTAATATTGAATGCAATTAGCATTTCCAAGCACACACACAGGTAGCAGAGGCAAGAGACTCAGAAGACTGAAGTTCCCCTGGGTAACCCCCAGAGTGGATGAAGCAGTGGGGTCTGGAGAGTTGTCAGGGCCCTTCCCCTGCACAATCACCTTCTCCCTTTTCACAGAGAAATTGCAACACTCCCTCTTCTCAGGCTTCTATGCCTATTTCCCTCAGCTTGCAAGGCTGGGCTCCCTGAGCTTGGTTCTGAGCCCCTGTGTGCGTGCATTTCTCCTCCCCGCGCTCACACTGTCTTGGGGCAGTGAAACAGCTGCCGATGAGTCATGCAGGGTCTTCTTCCTCTAGGTCCGTGGCTGACTCAGCTGCTCCCACAGAGGCCAAGGCACATTCCTTCCACCCACACCACAGTGGCCTCCTTTGGAAGGGGCACTGGGGAGAGAGAGGCCACATGAACACAGCCATCGTAAACCGAGCTTCCTTTGCTTACACGAAGGCTCACTGTGTGGACGCCTCTTCCTTCCAGCAGCCCTGAGAGGCAGGCAGGGTTTCCTACCATGTGGGACATTTGAGGGGGCTGGAAAGAAATACCCCTCTTCCCCACCAAGTCCTCTGCCAGCTGAGGACTTATGAGTTACAAATGAGTTAACAAGTGGAGGCCATATTTATTACTGATAAGTGCTGATACTGCTGAATATGTTTCTGTCTAAGGGCCACCTAATTTCGAAGCTCAGAAGTACTCTCTGCCTAGACAGTCAGTCTCTTAAACGTTTCCTTACTGATCCCAAAGTGGACGTTTGGGTGTCCCAGTTCAGCTCCCTTTGCAGTAGCTTGGCAACTCTTATTAGGAAAACAAGAAAGAGAGAAAAGAAAGAGAGAGACAGAGAGAGATAGGATATTGGGTTTTGTGGGGCAGGGGGAGTGTTGTCTTTGAAAATTCCTGGGGGGAAGAAAATCTATTGTTAAAAATCCATCTTTTTTTCCTTCGCTCCTCTCTCTAACTCCTTTCTTTCCCTCCTCCCATCCCTACCTCTCTTTCCCCACTTCCCAGTTCAGCCCATCAGTCCTCTCCCTCCCTTCTTAGATTCCTATCTCACCTTCTTACCCCAGACAGGAGCTGGGAGTGGTTCTACAAGGAGATGAGATGCTACAAGGTCTTGCAGATGCAGCAGACGTCCTGCAGCTCTCAGACAGACCCAGAGAACAAGCACACTTATCTCTTGTCACCCCTCTTTGGCACTATCCCGTAGTCCCAACAGCCTCAGAATAGAATTCTGATTTCTTTTAAAATCCTTAGAAGGCACCATCCATAGCCCCACTGGTTGAAGTGCTCATGATCAGTCCTTTCCATGAGCAAGATGATGCCTTTCAAAGTGGGATCTGGGACTCCAGAGCTTAAAAAAACAAACAAAACAACAACAAAAATCTCTCACTCCAGAGTCCCCTTGTTTAGCTAAACAAAGATTTAGGTGCCAGGTGCTATTCCTGGGCATAAACCCAAAGGTGGGGAAGCCCTCATCCCTGCTCTTGGGGAGTTCCCAGCCTGGCTTCTCACAGCTAAACTTTTCTGGAAAACACCTAGTTATTGGCCAGCAGAGTGAAGCCACCTGGAGGTGGAGGTGGTTGGAGGTGGTCCCCTTCCTCACTCAGCCTCTTAGAAACGTGGCAATTCTGCTTCCTCTCAGAGTCATAAAGGTTCTGAATGTGAAGGGTCCTTTGGCCCCTCTTTTTCAGAGTTGGAAACGGAGGCCCAGAAGGAGAACTGTCCTGAGCAGGTCACACCACTGGGGCTGGGCTGGGCCTGTTTCCTGTTCCCCCACATCACCCTGCCTCCCCGGCACTCCCTTGAGCTAATGAGCCAGGCGGAATCCATGACTGCTGGCTGCTTCTGAGCTTGTCCTGATTGTTCCTTCCTCTTGGGAGTTGCCCAGACAAACTTGGCCAGTATGCTGAGAGGCTCTCCTCCCAAGCTGGAAGGACAGGAGTTCTCCATAAGGATCAGAGCCAAAGAAACTCAGTCAGGTTAGCACCGATACCTTCATGCTCTCTGCACACGTTATTAATAAAGTTGTCTCCTGCCCTATGGCCAGAGCCCTCCACATGGCCAAGGGTCTGATATGTGCTTAAGAACATGAATTCTTGGCCCTTAAAAATCACCCAGTCCAGGGTTCTCAAGCTAGTGGTCCCAACCCATTAGTTGGGTGACAAAAATCTAATTTTTTAAAGGAAAGAAAAATAGAAAATATCAGAGTCCATCATATTTGTGGTAGGCAGAATTCTCAGATCACCTCCCCAATGACCTTATGTGATCCCCTCCCCTTGAGTGTAGGCAGGACCTGTGAATATAATGGGATATCATTCCCAAGATTATGATAGTTATATAGAAAAGGAAAGGATTTTGCAGAATAATTAAGGTTCATAATGCAGGCCAAAAAATCTTGCCTGCCATTTCACTAAACAATGAATGTTGCCCACCATCAGCACTGCAGCCTTCCCACGGAAAGGAAAAAAATGGATACTGGCCCTACATAGTTAAGATACATATCAAAGGAATAATTTCAACGATCCCAGTCTCTTGTATCTTCCCACACATAAAAAAGGACTAAAATCATTAACTTGAGATTTCTGTCTTTTGTGATTAGCAGTAATCTTTTTATCTTCAACTACATGTTTTGTTTTGTTTTTTTCAGCAAAAACTATACATCCTGTCTCCTCCCTTACCTCTTCAGAACAGTTCCTCAGAGCTATCTGATAGGCTGCGTCCCATGCTATAGTCCTCAATAAGATCCCCGAATAAAACATAACTCACAACTTTTAGTTGTACATTTTTCTTCAGTCACCAATAATTAGTTGACTTTGAGATGATCAAAAGAGAGGTTATTCTGGATGGGCCTGACCTAATTATGTCATCCCTTTAAAAGAGAGGTTCTCCTGCTGGCCCTGAAAAAAAAGCAGGCTGCCATGAATTCTACAGCTGCAAGGAGATAAATTCTGCCAACAACCATATGCGCTTGGAAGAGGACCCCAAGCTACAGATAAGACGGCAGCCCCAGCCAACACCTTAATTGCAGCCTTGTGAGACCTTGAGCAGAGCATCCAGCTAAGCTATGCCTGAACTCTGACCCATGAAAACTGAGATAATAAATGTATGTTGTTTTAACCATTGCATTGGTGGTAATGGTTTAATGTTTTAAACCATTGCATTGGTGGTAATTTGTTGCACAACAATATAAAACTAACATAATACCCCAATAGTAAGGATAAGTACTATACTATGCAACTTTTCTTCAGTTATATATATATATATATATATATACACACATACATATATATATATACATAACTATTAGACCATGGTGTAAAATGTATATTTTGTTTTCAGAGGTGATCAAAACTTTGAAAACCACTGATCTAGTTATAGACTAATTAATCCAAGGTCAAGCAGCCATTCACAGACAAATCAAAACTAGAACTCAAGTCTCCCCGGTCAATACTTTCTCCATCAGGGAATTCCCTGGTGGTGCAGTGGTTAAGAATCCACCTGCCAATGCAGGGACATGGGCTCTATCCTTGGTCCAGGAAGATCCCACATGACGCGGAGCAACTAAGTCCGCAAGCCACAACTACTGAGCCTGCGTGCCACAACTACTGAGCCTGCATGCTGCAACTACTGAAGCCCGTGCACCTAGAGGCTGTGCTCTGCAACAAGAGAAGCCACTGCAATGAGAAGCCCATGCACTGCAATGGCGAGTAGCCCCTGTTCGCCACAACTAGAGAAAGCCCACACGCAGCAACGAAGACCCAACGCAGGGGCTTCCCTGGTGGCGTAATGGTTAAGAATCTGCCTGCCAATGCAGGGGACACGGGTTCAAGCCCTGGTCCGGGAAGATCCCACATGCCACAGAGCAACTAAGTAACTAAGCCCATGCGTCACAACAATTGAGCCTGCATTCCAGAGCCCGTGAGCCACAACTACTGAGCCCATGCAACACAACTATTGAAGCCCGCATGCCTAGAGCCTATGCTCCACAACAAGAAAATCCACTGCAGTGAGAAGCCCGTGCACTGCAATGACGAGTAGCCCCCACTCACCGCAACTAGAGAAAGCCCACGCGCAGCAACGAAGACCCAATGCAGGGGCTTCCCTGGTGGCGCAGTGGTTAAGAACCCACCTGCCAATGCAGGGGACATGGGTTTGAGCCCTGGTCCGGGAAGATCCCACATGCCGCAGAGCAACTAAGCCCGTGTGCTACAACTACTGAGCCTGTGCTCTAGAGCCCACAAGCCACAACTACTGAGCCTGCATGCTGCAACTACTGAAGCCCACGAGCCTAGAGCCCATGCTCTGCAACAAGAGAAGCCACCACAGTGAGAAGCCCACGCACCACAACAAAGAGTAGCCCCCGCTCATCACAACCAGAGAAAGCCCACACACAGCAATGAAGACCCAATACAGCCAAAAATAAATAAAATAAATTTATATATATAAAAAGACCCAATTCAGCCAATAAATAAATAAATAAATGAAAACAAAAAAATACTTTCTCCATCATACCACACTGCTTAATGTAGTTAGGAAATGAAACAGAGCAGTGTGGGGCCCTTCTGAGTACAAAAACTTTTTTGTGCCCCCATTTCTTGTTTGTAGGAAAAGACTTCAGCCTCCCAGATCATCTCTGAGTTCCAAAGGGCAGATTCAAGCAGTTACTAATTAGGGAAGTGAGGGAATGCAGAAATAAAGGACAAGCAGTCAGGAAATAATAGTGGAGCAACAAAACAGAGTCCTAGTTCTTCCTCAAGGGATGTACATAACAATCTGATACATATCTTTGGGTTGTTCTGCAGGAACTAAGGCCCCCACCCAGGAGGAGGGTGGTAACTACATGCTGAGACCCCAGACTGGCTGGAACCAGAAGGCTGATGATTGAGATTCCTGGAACACTGCCCTGTTACCTCACCACCAGCCAATCAGAAGAAAGTCACACACCCTGCAGCCCTCACCCCAAATGTTGCCTTTAAAAACCCTTCCCTGAAAACCATAGGGGAGTTTGGGTCTTCTGAGCAGAAGCTGCTCATTCTCCTTGTTTGGCCCTTGCAATAAAACTTTCTCTGCAACAAGCTCTGATGTTTCAGTTTATTTGGCCTCACTGTGTGTTAGGCACATGAACTTGGGTTCAACAACAGTATATATCCAAGGGAAATCAAAACATATGTCAACACAAAAACTTGCACAAAGATCTTCATAGAAGCATTATTCATAATAACCCAAAAGTGGAAACAACTGTTGCAGGAAAGAAAGTGGGGCCGGAGAGGATGGTCACATCCCAGGTCACATCCAAGTCCCTGAGATGGCTGCCAAGTGTGGGTTCTTGGCTTCACACAGGAAAGAATTCAAGAGCGAGCCATAGTAAAGTGAAAGAAGGTTTATTCAGGGAGATACACACTCCACAGAGTGTGGACCATCTCGGAAGGCGAGAGAGGCCATGGGAGAAGCACACTCCACAGACAGAGTGTGAGCCATCTCAGAAGGTAAGAAGCAGCAGGATAAGGGGTTGTCAGTTTTCATAGGGGTGGGTAATTTCATAGGCTAATGAGTGGGAGGATTATTCCAACTCTTTTGGGGAAGGGACAGGATTTCCAGGAATTGGGGCACTACCCACTTTTTGGCTTTTTATGGTCAGCCTTGGAACTGTCATGGCTCTGGTGGGTGTGTCACTTAGCATACGCTAATGCATTATAATGAGTGTATACTGAGGCTCAAGGTCTAGTGGAAGTCGATCGTCTGCCATCTTGGAGCTAGTTGGTTCTAACCAGTTTATGTCCTGTCCTCAATGACTATGTCATTCTTTTAAAGGTTGCACCCTGCCCCCTTCCTGTCTCACAACCTAAATGTCCACAAATGGATGACTGGATAGCCACAGAATGTGTTATCTCCATACAATGGATTATTATTCCTATGTAAAAATGAATGAAGTTCTGATTCATGCTACAACATAGATGAACCTTGAAGACATTATGCTAAGTGAAAGAAGCTAGTCAAAATAGACTATGTATTGTATGACCCCATTTATCTGAAATATCCAGAATAGGCAAATTCACAGAAACAGAGAGTTGATTTGTGGTTGTCTGAGGCTGGTGCAGGGATGAGGGCTGCAGCAGGAATGGGGAATGACGGCTAATGAGTACAGACTTTCTTTTGGGGGTGTTAAAAATACTCTAAAATTAGATTGTGGTGATGGTTGTACAACTCTGTGACTCTACTAAAAACCACTGAAGTGTAAATTTTAAATAGATGAATTTTATGGTATGTAAAATCTGTCACAATAAAACTGTATAAAAAAGAAAAAGAAAGAGAAAAAGAAGCAGTCCAGCTACCCTCCCAGAAAGACCATATGGAGAGGCCACATGGAGAGAAGAGCCGTGGAACTACGTCGGGGAGGGAGAGGCTCTGCTGTCCCAGCATCTAAATCAAGCCTTTCAACAACTCCAGCCCCAGCCACCAGATACTGCGGCTGTACTAGGGAACCCAAGCACGATCAGCAGCAGAACTGCACAGCTGAGCCCAATCTGCACGTAGCACTGTGGAAGATAATGCTACGTGACATGGATCTTGTTTCAAGCCACTAAGCTTTCGAATAGTTTGTAATACAGCAATAAAGAACCAAAGCAGCCGTTTGGGAAAAGATACCATAGACTCCAAATGGATCAAAGATCTAAATGCAAAAACTGAAAACAGCACAAGTATCGGAAGAAAATATGGGTAAATCCCTCTACAACCTGAGTATGGGGAAATTCTAATTAAGTCTCAAAATGAAAATGCAATAAAAGATTGATAAATTTAATTACTTTTAAAAAACTAAGCTTTCGCAGGGCAAAAACTCCATAAACAAAGTCAAAAAACAAACAACAGATTTAGAGAAGATATTTGCAATATATATCACAGATAAAGGACCAAAATTTCTAATATATAAATAATGTTTTAAAGTTGAGGGGAAAAGAACAAAAATCTTCTATAAAAATGGACAAAAGACATGAATAGAAAATTAACAACAAAAAAGATGTAAAACTTAGCTTTATATATGAAGAGATGTACAACATCACATAATAAGATAAATGCATATTAAACCATATAGATACAGCATTTCTCACTCATCAGGTTGGCAAAAATTCAAAATCTTAACAATACACTCTGCTAGTGAAACTGGAGAAATAGGCACGTATATATTGCCAGTAGGAACAAAAAATGAAGAGGAATTTGGCAATATCTAACAAAACCATAGCTACATTCACCTTTTGACCCAGTAGTCTCACTTCTAGGAAGGTACCTTGAAGATACACCTCCAACAATTTAATAGTATTCATGCATAAGGTTGTTCATGCAATGTTATTTGTCATTTCAAAAATTATTACTATCTTAAGTAGCCAAACACATAAGATTGGTTAAATAAATGATAGAGTTTGGTTTAAGGATTATGAAGAACTATAAAAACAACTGTGATTTCCAGAATATAGTAAATGAAAAATGCAAAGTGCAAATAATTATATATAATATGCTTTTGTCTAAAAGACAAAAGGGAATAAGAAAACATATGTATCTACTTAATTTTGAAACACACACCCATGAAGAATAAATGAGAAAACAATGAAGTAGGGGTACAGGTTGAAGGGATAGGCAAGTGAGGACACTTCCCTGGGCACATTTTTATGTATATTTTTTATTCTTTTGAAACATATTAATGTTCTATATATTCAAAAATAAAATTTAATAAATAAGGATGGGAGAAAATCTAAATGTTAATGCAAACAAGAGCAAATAAACCCAAACATGCCTATTACTGTCTCTCAGTTCCAAGCCCATCCTTTTGTACTCTGCTTTGTGAGGTTGGAGGAAAGGCTCTGCAAACCACATTTCCACTTTGCCTGCTGCCTCTCTATTGGACTCTGCCTATCAAAGCCAAGAGGGGACTGCAAGGTTGGAGGGGGGAGAAAGGGCTTATTCCTTCTTGTTTTCCTCTCTGGTGGCAATTCCTTTGAGTCTCACTCCAGCAACGCCTTCACCCTGGCAGCAGTAGTTCCTTCTCATAGCGGCAGTGAAATGCAGCTTACAGTTTTTCCAACACGTACAAAAGCAGTCTCATTACACCACTGCAGAGACACCAGCACCAACCAGCAGGCACCTGCTTCTCAAGCTCTAAGTTTCCAACCCTAAGGGCCCCTTCCCGGGAACTCATAGAAGCCAGTGCCAGCCAAGTGTCCCCTTTCCCTCAGAGGAGGTCTGAGTTTCAATTCCACAAGTCCCTTCTAAGTTTCTAAGTTTTAAAAATTCAGCTTCCTCTTTTTATTCTCTCAACACTAGAGGTGGTAACTATTTCCTGTTATTGCTACTCGAAGAACTTAGAGCAGCAATTCTTAAAGTGTGTTTTGTGGATCCCTGTGGAGGGTCCTTGAGGCCTTTCAGGGGATCCATGAGGTCAAAAATATTTTCATAATAATAATAAGACATTATTTTCCTTTTTCTGTGTTGACATTTGCACTCATGGTGCAAAAGGAATGCTGAATAAGACTGTTGGCCCTTTAGCATAAATACAGGCAGTGCCACACTAGCAGTCACTGTATTTTTCACCACCATGTAGTTGCAGGGGAAAAAAATCCAGTTCTACTTAAGAATCACTCTTGATGAAGCAGTAAAATTAGTAACTTTATTAAATCATGATCCTTATGTTCAGATCACTTCAATATTCTTATGATAACTGAAACACTTGTGCTGTAAAGTGAAATGTGATGGCTCTCTTAAGGAATAGCACTTGTGCAATTGTTTGAGTTGTTAGCTGAACTGGCCACTTTTTTCACTGAACACCATTTTTACTTGCAGGAACAATGGACAGACAAACTATGGTTATTCAGACTTGGGCATTTAGCAGACATTTTCTCAAAAGTGAACAAAGTAAACCTTTCACTTCAAGGAAAACCACTGACAGTGTTTGTTGCCGATGATAAAATTTGAGCTTCCAAGCTAAATTTAGAAATTTGGAAAAAATGCATCTGCCATTGTGAGCTTGACAGTTTCCAATACTTAAAAACTTTTCTGATGAGACTGGTGGTGATATTAACAAATGTGAATTTTTTAAAAAGTGAATAATGAAATATGTCAACATTTGAAATATCTGCATCACTCAGTCAACTGATACTTTCCAATGAGCAATGCATTATGGGATTACAAAATCACGCATGGGTAACAGATCCGTCCAAATGGTAAGACAGACCAATGGATTTTAATATAACAGATTAACAAAATGTTCTTTAGATATAGTTTCAGATTCTACACTGCAATCAATCTTTAAGAAACTACTATTTGTTCAGTTTTGGTGTAATATCAAAAATATAATCATAATTATCTGAAAAGTATATTAAAATATTCCTCCCTTTTCTAACTACATATCTGTGTGAGGCTGGATTTTGTTCACATATTTTGACCAAAACAACATATCACAATAGACTGAATGCAGAACCAGATGAGTATCCAGCTGACTTCTATTAAGCCAGATATTAAAAAGATTTGCAAAAGTGTTAAATGCCACTCTTCCCACTAAATTTTTTATATAGTTGTTTCTCATAAAAATATTTTATTGATGTTAACATGCAATGAGTTTGATGTTTTTATTTTCAGCTTTATTGAGATATAATTGACATATAATGTAAGTTTAAGGGGTACTACATGATGATTTGATATACATATATATTGCAACATGATTACAACAATAAGATTAGTTAACAAATCATCACCTCACATACTTACCATTTTGTGTGTGTGTGTGTGGGGTGAGAACTTTTAAGATCTACTGTCTTAGCAGCTTTCAAGTATACAAAACAGCATTGTTAACTGTAGTCACTATGCTATACATTAGATCCCTTGAACATATTCATCTTATAACTGGAAATTTGTACCCTACGACCATCTTTTCCCCTACCAATTTCCCCCACCCATTTCCCCCACCTACCTTGCCTGTTATTTTTTAATGAATTAAAAAATAAATATTGTAAAAAAATTTTCAGTTTTAATTTCTAACACTGGTGATAAATACTACTGGCT